AGTTGTTAAAACATTTTAAAAACAAAGAACAATACAGAAAACATAAACACAGCACAAGACAAAGGGGCATCGATGGCAAAGGGGAACAGGAAGGAAGAAAGGGGCATCAATCATCCTCTCCAAAGGCCTGGGTGAAAAGCCAGGTCTCTAAGGCCCTTCAAAATCCCAGTAGGATGGGAGCTTTTCAAATTCCGGGGAGAACCTCAATGGAATTTGCACTCTTAAGTACTCAATCTTATGACCAGATCTGGGTCTCTCAGAGATCTTTGCCTGCAATTCCTTCTTGTCCAGTGGATGCCATGAATCAGTATTGATCTGCACCCTCCAGTAGAGACTCACTGTACTGTATTTCTGTATTGGATGTGGATGATTATGATTTGGATTCCTCCTCAGTGTCGCCTTCTCCATCCATTTATTCCCCTGTTGTTGAGGTGGGGGATTCTCTTGTCTTTACAGGATATTTAGGCTTTCACTCAGCAGATCTTGGTATGACTTATCCTCTTGGATTGAAGGTGAAATAACTAAATCAGTGAATGCAGAGTCAGTTTGGTTCAAGACGCTATAATGATGCTGATTCAACTATTCATATGTTTAGTTTTGCTTTGGGTGGCCTGGACAAACCTGTCTTCAAAGTCATGGTAATTTGTGAAGCACTGGCTCTTCTTTTAGCACCTTCCCCCCACAATTGTCATTGAAGCTTCTCAGATTCAGGTGAAATATGATTGGTTTTTACATTTTGAGGGGATGGTAGTGGTGGCCCAGGCAGTCACCAGGAATCCACAGTGACTTGAAGGCTTGCACACACACACACACACACACACACACACACAGAGTGGTGGAGAGATATTGTTGGAAATTCAATATGATGACTTGAAAGTTGTTATTCCAAAGTTATATTTTTGGGACTCTGTCCAAATATTAGACTTCCCTGGATAATTGTAATTAAAATGGCTTTTTTAGCTTAGCAATGGACAACATAAAGGGATTGACTCAGCTTCTGCAGTCTCCTAATTAGTTCTGTAATGGCACAGATAATCAGCATAGTGCAGCCACACTTTCAAGCCTTTGGGCTGGGATTGTCTTCCCTCCACAAAAGAAAAGGGAATTTGGCTCTTGCAATGTACATACAGATTCCAGGGCTAGGATGACATGAAAGAGCATCTACTGCATATCAAACTGTTGGAAATGATAGCTATCTTTAAGGCACTGTAAGTTTTCAATTGCCTGGTTGCAAGAAGTATGACGCAGGTACTTACTAGCAATTTCACAGTAGTATGAACTCTGAATAAGCAGGATGGGTCCAGTTTGTTTTCTGCTTTATAACTTAGCATCAACAAATGGAACTAGTGCATTTCATGCAATAATTTTCTGGTAGTGGTTCAGTTCAACAGTCAGGGTAGTGTCTTGGTGGAGCTCCACTCATTTGTCCTCTGTTCTTTTTTGCACTGAATGGACCCTATCTGTAGATATGTTTGTTACTCAAATTAGTTGGTTGTGAGCAATTTTGTAGCAGTAAAGATCTTGGCCTTGGGTCTTTGTCTTCCAATTCTTCTGATCTCAAAGGTTTTTTTTTTAAACGTTAGTTTTCTCCATTTCTTACAAGTCTTCAAGTTGTGGCCAATGCTGTCCATTATGATGTCAGTAATACTAAGTATCTCCTGACAAAGTTTGCTCCTCTCATCTATCTTGGAGACTTTTTATTTTCCATTTGTCCAAAAGGCTAAAACTTTTCTCAGTTGGCAGTGGCACAATTGTTCACCTGGAGCTGGCAATCTTCAGATTGATAGCTTGGAGAGGATGTTTTAGGGCTCTTCTTTGAACACAGTGGCTCAAATTCTATGTATGGCATGCAAACCTGCTGTGCACGCAGCTGTTCTATAAAATGGCTGAGATTTGTCTCTCTTTTTGCTTTCACTGAATTTTTTCCCTGTTATGTTTGGAATTTTTGTGTTTATAATCTTGCCTTTTTTTCTTCAAATAGCAGTATTCTGGGCACACTACGTCCTATTGACTTCTGCTTTTTCTTCCTCATTGATACGCAGTTTGGGAAAATACCTTTGAACATTTTCACTTCAAGTGCATCATATTTGTATTGAATTTGCTTCTAGTTTTCTCTCAGGTGATGGGCAAAACTTTTGAAACTTTAGCTATCTTCTCACTTCACTCTTTTATTTAGAAGTTAACATTCTTTGTTATCATACTGTCATCATGATATTCCAGTGAAATTTTCACCCTGTGTTTGGATGAGCTATATCTTTCATTTCATAGGGATAAGATGATCTTGTGACTGGATATAACCTTTCTTCCCAAAGTTGTCACTGAATTTTATCTGCCACAGGAGCAGGTGTTGCCTGCAGTTTTTCTAGATCCATTGGAGGATTCTCTTCATGCATGTGATATGTTTGTCATCTCCCTTGACCAAACTGCTCGGTTTTATAAGCATACTCATTCTCTCC